CGTGCTCGCGTAAATGATTGAAATTAAAATTAGAATTGTTTTCAATTATCGTTAATTCGTCACATTTTAATCAACGAAGACCCGACCTATTTTATTTAATGGTAATCTTTTCTTTGGTTTTAATTTTTTTTAATAGTTGCATTATTACACTGTTTACGTTTATCATTAAAATTTTATTTTTATTTTCTCATTCGCCTAGATGTGTTTGGAAAAATATTTAAGCTAAATAAGAAAAAAAATTAATTTTTTTCCCGACCTTTTCTGACGATTTTCTAAACAATATTAAAAATGGTTCTTAATTTCAAATCTTTGTACAGCCTGTATAAATACGAACGACAATGAAAATAATGGTGATGTTTAATAATCTTTAAAATGATTTGCTGTTTCTATTGCATACTATTATATAATTATTATAACTTTATTTTGGAAACGACGCTTTTAAAACAGCGGACACGCTCTCGCAGTATGTTTATAAAAGTAACATACTGTACAGCCATAATACAATATTAAAATAGAGGCGAGACTTTTAATACAATAAAATGTACGTTACATAATTACACAAGTTGAATATATCACAGATCCTGTATATCATTTAACATTTACAATTTATAACATTTACAGCAAAGCACAGTTTATATATTGCGGCCAATTGACTTATTTTAATATTTATAAATAATAATAATCAAATTAATAACATAAGATTTGTATAGGGCTCGTTCATATTCAAATTTAAAGAGCAACAATCTATATACGCTAGACGGATTTAAATTACATTTTGATATACGTATTTAATTAATTTTTGCTGGTCGTCACATATAATTTATTTGCAAAGATAATAGGAGCTACTTAAGGATTGCCTAATTAAAGAATGCTTCCCATCGAGGGGCTCTCTCTGTCTATCGGCGAGGATTAAAGAACTGCTTAAAAATACCGGTAGAAAATTATTACAGTATTATTTTATAATATGAAATTGGATATAAAGTAGTTAAATCATAAAAAAAAATCTATAAATAGTTACATGAAATTCGACTGCTAAAAAGATTAAATGAAATTAAACTATACAGGAGGCCGCTAACTGTATTATACAATATTATACACAGGAACGCACATCACGTTATATCGACACAGAACGCGCATCGCGTATGACACAAAATGGCTTCTAAATTCTCAATGTCGCAACTCTTTCTATCTATGGCTCTGGTTCCGCCCCACCCCTCCCCTTTGGGGCACGTTGAAACACCGTGTTTCAATGCACCCCATATCATGGTATAATGTAATGTAATTTACTTTAATTTTTTCCCCATAAAATTAAGTGGTAACACGATATTCCTATTATAAAATCAAGTGGTAACACGTATTCCTATTATACAATTATACACGTATTCAGAATACAATTAAATATTACGGTATAATCATTGTTTTTTAGCTTTTTGTACGTTAATTTAAATACGGTAATAAATCAGATAAAAACAATATAAATACTAGTGCTGAAGCTAAAGTCCTAAAAAATAATAGTCACTGACTACGTAGTATTTGCCTAAAGTCACTATTTTGCCGAAATTGAATATAT